GAAAACCTGCAAAAAGCCTTTGTTCTACACGACTCAGAAAGCAATTTTGGACGAGTTTCCCGTTGGCATCGTGCCAATAACCGCTACGGTAGATACGGCTGCATGCACGTATTCTTATATCCGCAACGTAGCCGCTTCATATCAATTCCTTCGCTTAATACTTCGCAAACGAAGTAATACCGGTATCAGCATCGCTCGGACATTGGTGGGCATCAGGGCGCGATGGTCGTCAGGGTCGGTACATTGCAGCTTGATAGGGCGCTACAAGGGTACCTCTCTTGAAAAAGGCGCCACGTAGCGCCTACTCAGAGGACGCCGAGTTCTATACTGCTGGGCGTATTAATCCTACACGACTTGGGAATTTATCGTGTCCTTGCCTTTAAGGCTTGCCAGAACTAAAAACTTTGCGCGATTTCATTTCGATTCCATCTGAATTTCAATTTCAAATGCACTTTTAACTCATTTTACAAGTGGAGGGATGTAAAAAGTGTATTCATACATTTCCACTCCATGAACTGTTCCCGTTACGCTAAGTTTGTTCATCTGCGCACGACTTCTATGGAGAAAAGTGCAAACAGCCTAGTTCATCCATTAACATAACGTAACCATCATGAATGGTCAACAGATGAGCTAACGAAAATACATCAGTCACAGAAATCGGCACCGATCACGTCAACTTTTTTCCTATCAAGTACCAGGTCAATATCTCGGTGCCTATTACGTAGGGGGGACATTGAAAAGAGCAGATGTTCCGATCGGAAATACCCTCGATTCTGTGCCGGAAAAGCGCAAACGTAAAGAACACAAGCCGACAAGCGCCTATGACGACGACGATTGCACAATCTTGGTCGCTTTCCTGTTCTCTTCGCCTCCCGTCTTCCTCCTCTTCTACTAAACGTCAGCTGGTCAATCGAACAAACGCCCGATGGACAATCAAACAATTACGAATGCAAACTGAGGGTCTGTGCGCACGCACATGAAGATCCCTACATTGAAGGTGACAGGGGTCGGCTACATCTGAAGCAAGTAAACACAGACTCGCCTGATGAAATCACATTTTCCTATTTTTCTGTAAGCACAGAAATAACGCACTTTTTTGAACAACAACGCCTAACTCCGCCTAACTTATTCCTGCTGTATTTTTTTGGAACCTTGAGCGACTTCTAGATTCTATCGCACCAAAACCCTGAAGAAGAAACTGCGAACTGCGTGTAATAATCAGGTTTTCTAACTCTGGGTTGGAACTAAACCTGATTTTCAGTCATTTTATTGATGAAGAAACAAATCTCCTGAATTCATTCCCGTACGCTGGATTACGTCACGCAATCAATACCCAGACGTTGATCTCGGCACATTTTACAGTTCCAGCC